TCATTTTGCTGGTGCGTACAGACAGTGCCTAACATCTCAAAGGCGTGAGATCATCAGTCACTGGACTGGCCTGGGAACACTCAGAGGCCCACACTGACCAGTCAAATGGGTTTTCAAACGCAGACAGTAGCTGATGGTCAGAAATCCTTCATGGCTGCAGAATTCAAACTGAGAGGAGTTACAGAAAAGGAGCAAACACTCACCATGAGGTTGCAATTCCACAGGGCTATCACGGACACATAAATAATCACTAACGGTTTGTCACCATGGAATTTCTTGGTGTTTCATTGTCACATATGTGTTTATTGTAGTATCAGGCCAAAACATGGTTGCCTGAACTCTCCTGTTTATGCACCAAGATTACTGCTACTCTCTTTCTGTGTTATTAAAATCACTTGTGTCCTACAGCACAAGGTGTAGAAGTCACAATATCTAATGGTCACCTAATAAACTTGTTGAAAATGATCAGAGCGGAGCACGCAGAGGGAATCTAACATTTGTCCCAATTTACTCACACCTTGTCAGCTGCCCGAAGAGAAGTCTCTTTTCCCTCCTCCTTGTAATTAATCCACATAAATATCTGTAGTGTTCACTTACAAATAAGTGCATGGAAGTAAAAGAATGTACTTGACAATCTCTTCTAAATGCTCCAGCCAAACTCGAAGCATTTTTAAAGACATAACAGGAATTAAAATATAATTTTTCTTCCTTGCTCTTCCCTGCATGTACAATTTTGCTATATGCTTACAAAGTTCTAAGAAAGTACAAAATTGTAATAGTAGGACAACAATATCCAGAGCTGGATATTCTGAACATCTTAAAATAATCTCCAAGCAAATAACCCTGAGAAAACGGGAGAGGGAAATCCATACTCACCTGAACGTGATCTGTCCAGTTCTCCTGAGTCATGGTTTTCTGAAAAGACAAAATTACTTCTGAGTTGTCTTAGAAAAGGGAGAATGCTACATACAGCAAGCTGAAATTTAACACACCATCTTCCACACTGGCATCAACTGTGATTGAGGAATGCATTGTGGAGCACACGGGAAACCTCTGCTTCTCATATGTCACCAGCCGGGGCACGGCAGCAAAACGCAGCTTCGACGGAGTAATTCAGGCAATTCAGACTTACACTACAGCACACGAGACAAAAAAAAACCCACGTGCAATCAGAGTCCACAGGCAACACAGGCCCTCACCCAGCAGTAACCCTTGTTATTCCCGGAGCTGGTTTCTGGACTCAATTTGCAGAGAATTAACCACCTCAAGAATGCTGCAAAGTGCAAAGCGCAGCAGCGTTTCGGAACCTACAGAAGCTCACACGGGGCTCCTGCGGTGCCAGAGGCATCGCCGAGCAAAGCTGAAGCAGGCCATGGGCCAGCAGAATGCACGGATCATTGCTGCTGCCTTCACCTCAGATTTGCAACACGTCCGTGGACTGTTCCCCCCAACAGCGAGCCCAGCGCAGAGCCATCCCCACCGGCCCCGGCGAGGGAACGGAGCCCAGGGATCATCTGCAAGGCTGAGCCTTCAGAATACAAAAATACACACTTGTCTCAACAGCCAAGTCGTGAAAAATCCTCTGGAATCATGAGGTCTGGGAAAGGCAACTGGTAAGTTAATATCCCCGTTTCAAGGTAGTTCAGAGCCAGCCTTGGGGAGGAACTCGGGATGGGACCTACTCTCCACTCTGCCAGGAACACAGGCTGCGTGAGACCGATCAGTCACCGAGGGCTGAGCCTCACCCCACTTCTCAGAGGTAACAGCGATTCCTAGTGCCACTTTTATGGAAAGCTACAAGAGCAACCGGGCAGTAAGAGCCTCAAAGAAAACACCTCTGAGGTATACAAGCATGTAACTTAAATACTAGTGAGATGAAGGAGCCATTTAACCAGACCTCATACACAGCTGAGAACGGTAAACAGAGAACACCAAAGAGCTCTCAGAAGAAGGGACTGTGTTCAGAAACAGCTGCCAAATGCACCTTAATGGAAGTAACTGGGCAGCTTGGACACTTTAAATCAAGCAAATACTACAAAACAAAGGAAGTGGAAGGCCAGAGAGAGCAGAACATCAGATCAAGAATCCATTCGACTCTGCTAAATAAATACCCCTGGATAAACGTTTTCTACTCTCTCACTTCAGATGATCGAGCTCTCTAGAATGATGTCATCCAACATTACAGCTTTGAGATGCAGGACGCTGAAACGCTCTGTCCTCCCCAGGTCTTCTGTCAGTGAATCTGGCAGGCAGCAGACAGACCAGAGCCTTCACTGATGGATCAGGAGGTCTTGGAAGCAGAACTGGCTGTGCCAGAATGGTGTCATCAGATCACCACCACTCAACCCTATCTTCACGTTCAAAGTACTTGGGGGTGGGGGATTAGAGAAACGCGTGCATCTGCCTTCTACTGTCAGAACATCAAACGAATCCTCTTTTGAACAAAAGAACAGACACTTCTGGAGGAGGTGTCTCATTTCCTGAAAACTGGCTCTCTGAAGACTGGGTCAATAGTACCATACATAGGAACAACCTGTTGGGCTCTGTTAAAGCTCTGTTAAAAAAGCCTCTTGTATCTACAAGGAGAAAGTCTTCTATGAACTGCAGATGAAACACTACTCTGTTTGGCAAATACAGCTTGATAATTCAAAATTCAAGAAATGGAACATTTTGCTGCGATATTCAGTCTCTTGTGGTCCCTGTCCTTCACAGTCCAGTTGATACACCTGGATACAACACGTGCAAGCTGTTTTTTCCAGAAGAGGCCGAACAAAAACTTACTCTCAGCTGGTACAGTCTGTCTCCAGGCACAGGATAATGACAAATGCCAGACCATCAAGAGTAGCACCAAAACTGCCTTGTCAACAAGAAAAGAAATGTGCTCCCCAACGCAGTGTGCTCAAGAGCATCCAAAGGGCAGTGACTTGGCTCTGTACACTCATGAGAGGGCAGCAGAAACCATTGCCAAGTAATGCTGCAGAGAGTCAACCTCCAATCTGCCTCCTAGAAACCTTCTCCTTAGAAAGAATTAATGGCATCTTCTTATTTCTACAAGCCCTCAGTGCCAGGACAAGTACCAGCGTTTTTGGAAAGAGAATTTGGAGGCTGGCCAAAAGTGAAGTTAGTTCAAAGAACGGTTCAGGAACTGAAAGTATGACCATTTTGCTCAGCTGTAACAAGGCTGTAAGCACAAAAAAGCTTCTGTGGCAGGTTTGGGCCATACCTATCACGGCCAGGCCACAAGCACCAAAGCAAAGCGCCTACAAAGAACCCAGCAACGTGGAAAACCAGGTGTTCTTGAAAAAAACCCAACGCACAACCCCCAAAAAACCAAACCCACCAAAAAACTCTTTAGCCAGTATGGTCCTGCTTATTTGAGACGGCTGAGAGAAACTGAACATATGGAGAGCATCCCTGACCTACCTACAGGTGTCGAACGCTGCTGAGGATGCCGAGGTGAACAAGCATCCAGCTCCAACCAGTCAGGACACCCAGTCATATGAACGGACACACAAACTACTCACTCACACAAAAAACAGGTCCAGTGGGAGATCCAGTGCGTTTCTATAGAATAACAACCACGATGAATCACAACTTGCTCAAATACTATCAACGCGTTTCAATCATGTCAATGATGTTATTCAGAACACAAAATAAACAAAAAGCCTCATTCACACCCACGCCACACAACACGGACACGTACCTCAACGAACCTCTTGTAGAAGAGGTAATGCAGAGTTCTCAAGTGCCGCTGATTTATGACATTAGGGCAGAGAGCTAAAAGAAGGAAAAAGACATTTAAGTGTACAATGTGGCTGAACTTCCTTGAAGTTTTACTGTCTAGACGTTACATTTTTCCTTCCCCACTTTCAGACTCGGTATGTGGAAGGCAGGATGCCATCACGCTTGGAACAATGAGGGACACACACACACATTGTCAGCTTATCTAAACTATAAACTGTTATTTACACTTTCAACCATGATTAGCAATGCAAATCCTCTGCTACTGATATCTCTGGTTCTACCACCCTTGAACGATAAGATCCACTTGCTGGTTCAATATGCTCCACAGTCAATGACTTCACACCTTTAATTAGGTGGCATCCTCACACAGGCACCACCTCCAGTCTCTGGGGGCTGCATTCTTTTTGATTTAATTGGAACCTGTGCTGTTAATTCATTGAAGCAGTTTTGAACACGTTACTCAGGATGTAAACTTGTGGCTAAAGTTTATCCGATAAAATATTTATCCATGAAAGAGACTCCATATCCATACAAAGAGGGAGGTGTCTCTTGTTTTGCTGAGCTAGCAAGCAACAGTTGTTGTTATTATTTTTATTACTGTCATCTTCATTAGATATGCTTCACTACAACTGCAAAAACCAAGATCTTCACATAGCACCTTGTTTTGAAACCCAGTTTAATGAGAGATAAATGCAGAAGATAAACTACATTAACTCAGATTAGCATATGTATCTGTCAGCTCTTGCTAGATGCTGGCACGTGTACAGGGAGAGATTTAACCAAAGCCTTCACTGGGGTTTCAGTGGCTAAAATCAACTCACTGTCAGGCAGAAGACGCAGGACCAGCAATCAGAAACGGTAACAGAACACTGTAAAGTGAAAATTCTCTGCAGCCTCCCTTTAATCAGCGTACACAGAGAGAAACCAGTGCTCCCAACTCCAGGGGCCTGGGAGCGCAGCACTCTCCGTGCCCCACGCATGGCACGGCCAAGGATTGAAATCTGAGAGAATGAAGGCAGATCTTGGAATACCAGACTCTGGAATCAGAGGGATGTGAATTGATGCACCACTGGTCACTGCAGCTGCTCGGAGTCTCCTGAAGCATCACTTCGTAACCGGAACGTTCCATCTCAAACAGAAACGTTTAAAGCCGTCACTTCTAAGCTAATCTTCCACAGTGTGACGACATATCCTTGCCCCCAAAGGACCTGAGGAAATTATTGCAATCCTACAGGATATTATCCCAATAAATATGGTGATCTTTCCTCCGGATATTATCCCAATATCCGGAGGAAAGACCATCAGCTCAGGGAAAGGAGCCTTCTTTAAAGAAGGTAAGATCAACATAAAAATTAGTAATATCACCACCTAACTTAAAGATTTCAAAGCACTTCAGAAAGAAACACAGCATGACTGCTCTAGGTCACCAAAAAGATCCATTGAGTGTTTTTTTTTCAGTGAGCTTCTAGAGGAAATATCCAAAGCACAGGACTTGGCAGAATTGTGGGATTTTAAGTGCCCAGCTATCTGTGTGGAAAGTAGGACAGAGGAACACAGACAGACTGGAACATTTCTGAAGGCACTAGTGACCTCTTCTATTCTGATGGAGTGAAAGAACTGAGTAGGAATGCAGTTTTCTGTATTTTATTACAAAAAAAAAAACAGAGAAAGATTGATCAAAAACGTGAAGATGAAAGGTAATTTGGCAAGAGAAAATGAAATGAAGAGTTCAAAGCTCTAAGGAAAGGAAGAACAGCAAAATAAAAACAACGTAATGGACTTCAATAAACTCAGCAATCTGGCAGGTAAGATTTCATGTGAAAATAATTTATAAGTGGAAAAGGAGTTAAGAAGAGCTGGCAATGGAAAAATTGGAAGTGAAGTATGAGACTAACTGCTAAATCAGAAGCTTTTATTGATCTCAAACACAAGAAGGAAGTGAAAAGAACGTGGAAACTGGATCACACACATTCAAAAGAACAGCACAAACACATTTTAATCAGAAAGCCTGAAGTAAAATGTGAGATGCATCGACCAAAAGCCATAAAGGCAAGAGAAATTCCAGGTAGCCTTTTGGAGAAAAAAACCCAACCAAAATCCAACAAAAATCTAATGGTAAGGCTAGAGAAGAACTGGCATAGGTTGTACCAGAGATGGTAAGCTTTCCACCCTGGAGGTTTTTAAGAACAGGTTCCACATTCCATGTCTATTGGAAAAAACAGAAGGAGCTCCCTTGGCTTTGAGGCATGAGGGTGAAGCAGGTGATACTGCAGAGTCTTTGACAGACCTTTTCCCTGCAGTTTCATGACCTTCTACACCTTATATTTGCCGAGACCAAAGCACTTCAGGGCAGAGCAACTTACTCAAGGTCACAAACCTCATTGAGTGAACAGGAGTCTCAGGTCTCCTGAGCCAGAACCAATGTTCTGTTGGTCAAAGCAAAAGACAATGTCCTCAGCTTTTCTGAACAGGGACCATCCTTCTGTTCAATGTTTGTACAGTGCGGTTTTGGGATCATGACTCAGTTGTGGAGCACTAGTGGAATACAAATGGTATATAATACAAAGACTATCAAAGCACCTCTTTGAGTATGTGTTAACTCTTAACTTGGTGGTTGCACCACAACAGTGCTTCATCTGAACTGTATTTCACATCTGTGACTGACTCAGAAACAAAAATCCCAGTCTGCTCTCGGCTGTTAGCAGAGAGTCAATGGCGATTAGCAACACGGAGGAAGTGAAAAAGAAATCTGTTTGTCATGCTGGGTATGAAACCCGCAATACACACTTATTTCACTCAGGTAACATTGTAAGATGTGTCTACTGGGGACATGGTGCAATATATTTTTAGGTGTGGTGCGTGGCTACCCCTCCCAGGTGATACGCGATGCCTCCTGAGCTGGGCTGTGGACCCGATCCTCTCTTTACGCTGCACTGAGAGCCTGGCTGCCATTGACAATGAGACTCCTTCACTCTGTCCTGGCAAAACAGAAGGTCCCAGACAAAGTATACTTTGTTTGGGGATAAAGTAAAGGAGTCTTTTTTAAATAAAATCAGGGTATGTGAAACGCTAGAGGCTTTCACCCTGGTATTGCTCAGGATTGCCGGGGAATCTGATGAGAAGCGAGCTGTGCATGAGTCTCTCAGTGTATCACGAGATTAGTCCCTAAAGGCGAATTAGTGGAGGGCAGGGCTGGACTCAAGAAAACCTCTTGTTATTGTAGCCTCAAAGATGCAGTAGTGTTTCTCATAAAATGCTCTGTGCCACTACAGATCAGGGTAAGCGGTCCTCAAAGAGGAAGGTGAAACAGCAGAAGCCCCAGACTGGCCCCAACCCCCTGAGCCACCTGCTAGCGTTGCTACCTGGAGCACTGGCTGACTGGAGGAGGAACAGGGAGCATAGCACAGGGGTTTCGATCCATGCCTGAAGGAAAAAATGCTCCAGTGTGGTCTTTAGACATGTGTCTGCATATGATAAATTCACACTCAAAACTGCAAGTGCCGTGTCAGCTTTTTCAGTGAAAAAAAAAGCTTGGAGCTGCTGGCCAGCTTGTCTCGGTCAAGAGCAGATCAGATTCTACTGCCCGAATTTCAGTAGACAAGAATGTAGCTGAGAAGGTCAGGGGCCCAGAAAGGATCCAGGCATGTTCATGGAATGGTCTATGTTGGAAAGGGCCTTCAAGAACATCCAGTTTCAGCCCCCCTGCCATGGGCAGGGACACCTTCACTACACCAGGTTGCCCAAAGCCTCGTCCAGCCTGGCCTTGAACACTGCCAGGGATGGGGCAGCCACAGCTTCTCTGGGCACCTTGTGCTGGTGCCTCGCCACCCTCAGAGGGAAGAATTTCTTCCTTATATCCAATCTAACTCTCCCCTCTTTCAGTTTAAATCCATTGCGCCTTGTCCTGTCACTACATGCCCTTGTCCAAAGCCCCTCTCCAGCTTTCCTGCAGCCCCTCCAGGCACTGGAATGCAGCTCAATCCCCTTCTCCCTCCGCCCTCTCCAGCCACTGTGACCTCAGGCTCCTGCCTTCTAACTCCTTAAGCCCAGAGGTTCTCCCCAGTCGCGGTGCCACGCAGAGACGCGCTGGTATTCGACACGAGAGCCAAGACGCTCTGAAGGAAAACCGCCATGGAATTAGGGGGGAAACAGCCCTTGTGAAGCCAACGGAAAGGGAAGGAACAACCTCCGGCTGTGGCACGGACAGGCAAAACCGCTCGGCATCTCCTCCTTCCCAGGGC